GTTATATTGACCAGCCCTACCCTGCTGTAACCTTAGCAATTAAGAGTTCCTGAGCTTTTATAAATCAGGAGTGAATGTGCTGTCAACTGTAGTGACAAAAATAAACCAGTCACTGAACTCCAAATTATTGTTTTCATAATGTTTGTCATTGTAATAGTGAAAGAGCCTATACTTTAAATATATTTTGTAGGTCTGATGGAAAGGATGAGAAATCTGAAGGAGAAGGAAAAGATGGCAAAGGTGAGAACAGTTGATGCTGGAAAAAGTTGCCTCTCAAATCCATTAACTTTTTTAAACATTTATTCTTAATGATACTAATTCCATTTGTTTTTCACAGGGCGAAATGAGAGGACTGTAGTTATGGACAAGTCCAAGGGAGAACCCGTCATCAGTGTCAAAACCAAAAGCAAAGAGCGAGTAAGTGAAAATATAAACCCATCACTGCTACACTTGAGTTACCACAGATGATATGCTTAGTGTAATATACAATAGGTAACAGTGGGCTTTTGTCATCAGCTTTTAATTAACAGTTTTCTTCCATCCTCTGTTTCCCTTTTTTCTTTCTCCAGAGCTCAAAGAGTCGGGACCGCAAGTCACCCAGTAAAGAAAAGAAAGACATCCTGTCATTTGACCAGATCAAGGAGCAGAGGGAGAGGGAGCGGCAGAGACAGCGTGAGAGGGAGATCAGGGAGGTGGAGAGACGCAGATTCACGTAAGGATCAAACAATTGATCTAGAAACGATAATCTCATCCTACTCTAATCTGGTCTAACGCAACATGATCAAAATTGAGGAAGGATTGTTTTTCACTTCTTGAAATTGTTATCTCGAGGATGCCCTGTGAAATATTGTTTTTACAGAAGTGGCTTATTTTTCTGTAGAATAGAAATAAATGCTTTTACAGAATTTTTTTGGAGTATGGTTTGATCAGTACAATTCTATACTAGACTGTATGTATATTAACTCACCTTTCCTTTTAATTCAGTACATATTTGAAACATTTGGTTGTAGTTACTCACTGAACAGACATTATTCTTCGCTGTTGTCTTTCAGTGACCGTGATCGTGACAACCGCCCCGATCGTGAGCGTGAGCGAATCCGTCTGTTCAGGGAGAGAGAGGAGAGAAAACACCTGCTGCGGAAGAGACACTGGCTTGAGGTAATAAATAAAAATAAAATACCGTTACATTTTCTTGCAAATTTCTCTTTCTCTGACTGCATAGCTGTTGCATTATACCCTTTGATTTGAATCTGAGTTATCAAATATAATTTTGTTTTACAATTATTAGGATAAAATAATTAAAATTTTCCAATTTGTCAAAATTCTTATTCTCCCAGATTTCGTTTTTTAATGCATATATGATATAAGATCTGTTGATATTAATGATGCATGTCTTATTCCCAGGCTGAGCGACAGCGTCTTGATGCGGATCGTATGGAGCGTCAGTTCCTGGAGCGCGAAAGGCTTCGTATAGAATATGAGCGGCGGCGTGAGCAGGAAAGGATTCTCAGGGAGCGAGAGGAGCTGAAACGGCAGCAGGACCAGTTGCGTTATGAGCAGGACCGACGCCCCGTCAAGAGGCCGTATGACATGGACAACAGGTAAATATGAACCGACGGTGTGGTTTGAGCGTATAATTGACCAATGAACTTATTGCTTTAACTGAGTTTCATTTCACTTAACTTCTTAATCAATGTTAAGATATCACCAATATTGATTTTACTTCTATATTTCAGGAAAGACGATTGGCCTGAAAAGCGCATGGCCTTGGATGACCGATGCGGCCGCTCAGACTTTGGAAGACAGGAACGTTACCAGGACTTTGACCACAGAGACCGTGGCCGATATCAGGATGACATGATGATGGACAGGCGAGATAACACTCGTGGCATTGGTGCAGACAGAGATGGTCAGGTAAGAGAAGCTGTAATTAAGCTGTAAGCTTAGTGTGTTTCTGACACATACATCTGCTCACAACAGTAAAACACGAATCTTTGACGCCTTGAATTCCATCTCATCTCTTACAGCACTTCTCAGATAGGTCAGACAGACATGGCAGAGACGGCCGAGAGCCCTGGAGCGGAGGATACGACAAGCGCATGAACCCCAGGTGAGCTGACCTTCTTCAGTTTAAGCCATATGTAAATTTAAGAGGCAGATGTAGAAATATTTGTGAAGAGTGAAAAAAAATTTCCAAGATATTTTTCAATCTTTTTTTAGGGAAGGAGGTCGAGACTGGGACTCTGGACGGAAGATGGAAGGAGACAGAACATGGCAAGGTATGAATGCTTGTGCTATATTGTGTCTTTAATGACGATACCGCTAATTACACTGACTGCTTTGTATAATACTATGATTTACATTTTAAAGTGCACTTATATTGAAGTGCAGATGAAATGCAGAACAATTATGAATAGTTTTTATCCTGCTTAGTGACAGTCGTCATGTTTAACTGCTGGGGTCCTGATGGTTTGCTTTTCAATTCCAGGTAGAGACGGTGCTATTCCAGGCCAGAGCCACATTGCACGTGGAGGGATGGCGGGGTGTGTAGTGATTATCTGCTTACTCATTGTTGATAGAAGAGATGTTGCGATACCACTTTCCCTTCCTGGTACCTAATCTGATCCCAGGTCTTTGCTTATTGGCCGAAACTGAGCATTGATCTGCTTCCAGTGCATTTAAAAAAATATCAACCTATATAATGTATATTAACAGTACCGCTACTGTTCGGGTCTGTAAGTGATGATTGAGATCATCCTTGTATGGCCTATTGCTCGTGTTGTAATATGCAACACTAGTTTAATTCCTTGAAACACAAGGCAGACGGTACAAGTTGCTGTTTTACTCGTTGGACTTTGCTAGCTTGAAATGTTTCCAAATTGCTGATAACTGGCTACGCTACATTTCTGGAATCACTTCTTCACTGCTCTCAAACAGAACATGACAGTGGCAGTACAGCAGTTTTGGAGCAATGAAGAAGAAGAAGTGATTTCCAGGAAAAGAAAAATGCAGTTTTATCTGCCTGAAACTAATATACTTAACAGACATGGTAACAGATCCGTGCATGGATTCACATACTTGCCAACGCCCGCCGTGGCATTTTAGGCACTAATGCGGTATCGTAACATCTGTTGTTGATATGAGCTTGTTGGTCTTTAAAGGCATCACAGAATTAGCCAGCACTGTGTGTTAGACCGATGTTGATCATTGCCTCTGTTTTTTCCTCACCAGCCGTGGAGGTTACATGAACACAGGGACGTCTCAGTCCCTCTCTGGAGCTCTGAACAGACAGAACCAGCTGATGCAGGGCAGCGGGCTGCAGGGTGGAGCTTTTGGTCGACGCTACTGATGTGTCCATCTAAAGACAGTAGTGGGACACTTACATGAGATCACATCATAGAGGATGTGGCCATCTTGTTTTTGTACATTTTTTTTGTCTTAAACGTGATTTTTCTTTTTTTTGTCACAATTCCAATTTGTTTTTGATGAAAACCTTTCTCTTTCTTGTTGCTACTCCATTTTTTTGTGACTTAGTGATTTTCTGCTTTGTATTTATGGTTCAGTCCATCCTGTCGGTTCACATCAGAGCTACATTTTAAATGCAGATGTTTAATAGACACCTACATCACATAGCGTCAATGGACCTCATCAGTTTTCCATCTTTATCCCAGTTTACATCTGGAACATTTTGAGATTTTCATTCTCATTAAATGAATATTTGTTGCAGTTAACGTGTTCAGAGCTTAGGTCTCATTTAGACATTTTTGTCTTTTTAAAACAAATGGAAGCTATGATCTCCCTGCTGAAGAAAAGGTTTTTACATTAAATGACACACTCTGATTATCCAAGCTTGTTACTTTTATATATTTCAATCAGTGCATTTTTGTACATAGTGTTTGATTTGTGTGATTATCAGATAATGGTAGTACATCCCCTTGGACTGTGTATGTGCACAGGTCTGTGATTAAAATCTCAAATTAACTGAATTGTGGTGTTGCAGCACAAGTTTTCTGTAACTAAAATCTGTTTTTAGATTTTGTTCATAAAGTTTAGTTTTCTTGTCCTTCTGTTGTTGGGTTTATTACAATGTCAGGGTTAAATTCACAGGTTGAAATAGGCTACAAGCTTTTAACAGTTACAGGTTGTTCATATATTTGTTGTGTTCCTATTGAAAGAAATGCATTTCAAAGCACATTTGCAGAGTTAACTTCCAGGTGCTCATATTTATAAAATAAATTCTGACATCACAGGAAGTTTGATGAACTGAAGCATCTGTTTGAATTTCTACCCTTTTACCAATATACTGCATCAGCTGGTTACAAGAAATTCTTAGGTCATGCAACCAACGTCGCTCTTTTAACTCAAAAATGTTAAGTTATTGGACACAACTATTGTGAGTCTAGTTCTAGTATCACATACTGTATCTCTAATCATACTTCTGTTTGATTCTTTTAAAATGACAGAGGCAGGATCACCCAGTGAAAATTAATTACACATAACTTCTCAACCTCCAGCCCAGACTGAAGAAATTAGCTGAGAAGCTGTTTGTTGCATTAATTAAATCAGTAGATGACCTAGTTAGTATCCAGTCATTCCATATTTCTGGGGACGTGCTCATCATCAGGCCATGTATAATCATCCAACCATCATAATAGCCACAAGTGAAAGTTTAATTTTCACTAAAGAAGACTTATTCAGTATTATTAAAACATTTTGTAGTTGTTTATCCATTTTATATTATGTTGAACATATATATATATTTGGTTTAAGCTGCAGCTCTATGCAACTAGGTTACACAACATATGTTTACACATCTTGTACCTATAGTTCTGAACAAACTTGCAAACTAGCCTCCTGTCATCATAAAAAAACAATGTTTGCATTCTTCAGTTTGTTATGTTGCCATCATCGCTGGAGTCTTCCCCACCTATCAGTCTGTTTAATATGAAAAAGTTATTTTCTTATATCCACTAGAGGGTGTCATATCATCATGAATACAAGTTGAAACTGATCCTTTTATTCATTTGTTCCCATTAAATTGACCCAGTTGAGCAGATTAACTGACTTTGAGTCAGTGCAACTGTAGAATGAACATTAAGAGCAAACAGAATATTACAAGCCAGTGTGATGACGTGGTTGAAAGAAAGTCCGTGAATGTGCAGATAAACATTCTTGCTTCCCTGTGGACACGAATAACAAAACCCCCAAAGCAAAACATGACACATCAAACATGAGTTGTGGGGCAGAGGATGTTGAGGAATAAAATCAGGACATCAACAAGGATCCCTGCAGCTGGTTTGCCTTTTTCCTCCTCTCATCCCAAATTACTTTGAATGCTTCTTAAATAGCCAGATGTAGAAGAAACCGCTTAAATCAACATGATGTGAACTACCGGGGAGACGACCACAAAGGGTCTGAGGTGAAGAAACACACACCACTGAACCTCCATGTCACGCCCACGCTGTGCAACATCATTTACCCACATTCTGGGACAGATTCCTCCACAAAACCTGCATTGACTTCTCTGATGTCCTTCACATCTGTGTATGAGAAGTGTCTCTCTCCTCTCTCTTACTTCCTGCATATCTTCATCTATTAGAAACAAAGCAGCTCAGATGTTTTATTATAGGAAACATAATCTCAGGTTTTACTTGCCCTGAGTTTATTGTAGTTGTGTGTTGCTGCATGTGATCTGTTTTTAATTGTGTTTGGCTTGTTTGATTAGCTGAGGATATTTTCTTTACAAGCTTTGCAGACCTGGATCTGAGCAGTTTATCAGATTCTTCCTGACAGATCCTCTCAGCCTTGGTTTGACTTCTTCAAATCTCCCCACTCATCTTGTTTGGGGCTATTAATGTGGGCTTTGACTTGACTATACTCCACTCTTGGCTGGACACTTTGGGTCACCGTCGTGCTGAGAGACGAACCGTCCCCCACAGTCCCAGGTCACGTGGCCTCTGGTCCAGGTTTTCTTCAAGGAATTTTCTGCATTAAGAGAAACACAAATGGTGGAAAACACAAAATGTGTACATTAATGTATGGATGGATTGTGGGTTTATTGAAATGGCTTCAATTAAATCTGCAACACATTACATTGTGAAGGGGCCTGAATACTTCCTTAAGTCATGTATATCACACAAAGTTAGCATGCATTTTAAAATCAGACTGAATCCGCAGAATGCATCATCATAGTGTCACTTATCAGTAATCCATTTCATTTTATGAAAATTTGAGTCGTGAGTTTAATCTGATATTTGGGTTGAATCTATTTTTATTGGCTTCTGACTTTGCTGTAATCTGCATTTGTTTTATTTTACAAATGAGGTTCTCTCTTTTTTCATGATGATACTGTGTTTAAACACAGTTGATGTGTGCAGGTGCCAGAGACGCACCTCTATCCAACACATGAGAAACAGTGGAATTCACGTCATATCACTTGCAGCCACTTTTCATTGCTTTGCTTGTTTTCTGAATATAGTGGCGGCAAAAGGACTCAGAGGGAGTCATAAATTAGTGTTTCAATGTTTGCATTTGAGGGTGCATTCATGTGCTAGAGCTCAGAGACCACCACAGGTGAATCCACCAGGAGCCTCCTCACCCGGAGCTGAGAGAAAACAAAGCTGAGACAACATCCTTTTTATGTTTCGACAGAGGTGAAGCTCAGAGCAGCAGCTTGGCCTGCAGCAGAGAGAAGGTCTGCAGTGTCATGGGTCATAGGCAGAGACAGAGGTAGATCCACATAGACAGTGAGAACAGATAGATGTGTTGTTTTCATGCACTTTTCCCTGTTAAAGAAAAGTACAACAATAACAACTCTGTCTTCAAGTGTAATCTGTTGGTTCTCTTCAAAGCTCCAGTGATTTAAGGATCTGTCAGTAGAAATATTTTTTTTTATTGATGATTCACCTGAAACTATGAATTGTTATGTTTTTATGTACTTGAACCTGTATTATCCACTGAGTAGAACCAATTCCATGGAGGCTGCCATGTTGCACCCCCATGTTTCTACAGTAGCTCAGAATGGACAAACATTGGTCACACATATGGAAGAGGGGAGTGAGGTGAGATGTTTCCACCTACTTCTCATATGCAGCTTCGCCACTAGATGTCACTAAATCCCACACATTGAACCTTTAAAGAATTCTCCACTGGTTTTGCAATGTGATGCTGTAACACTGTCAGAATCAATAGATACATTTGAAACACAACTCATTTTGAAGCAACAGACCCAGAGATGTTGTCTGTTTTTTAAATCTCACACAGCACCTACGTCACCCACAATGCAACTTGACAGGTGGGAGTTTTGTCAGAGGTTCAGGTGTGTTGTGCTACAGGCTAGCACCTTTAACCTCAAGTGGAGATGAGAAGCAGATTACAGAAATATGGCAAGTTCACTCCTTTCAATCCCACTAGAACATTTCTTTCATCTTCACATTTATAGACCGATACAGTCTGTGGCTCTTTAATGGGTCTAATAATGTAGAAGGTAAGTATTTTAAATGTGAGATATTTTTGAGTCTGCTAAATCAGATTTCAGTTCAGGCTTTCTAAAGAATTTGGGCAAAAATAAACAGATTTAAAGAATAGGAAAACATGGACAATGAGGCAAATCCTTCATCCCTTATTTCCTTCCCTGCTGGGTGCAGTCTAGTGTAATGAAGAAGGGTGCTGTTGTAAGAACAGGTTTGTCACAATCACATCCACAGAACAACGTGATGCAAACCAAGTCTCAAAAACATTTCACCCAGACAGTAAAAAGAGAGCAAAGATCCGGTCCGATCCGGACTGAGTCTGCACAGTCCAAGATCCTTTCAGGGAGAGAAACAAATATCAGACTTTTTAAATAATAACTTAGTTTGATGTATTAATAGTAATAATAAAGAAATTATAAACTTTATGAAGCACCTTCAAAACATAGTTAAATTGTGCTTTACAAAATTAAAAACCTGAAGGCAAACAACAGGAAATTGTTAAAAAGCAATTTGAAGATCACATAGAATTAGAAATAAAAGGTAAAATAATAGATTTAGAAGAGGACAAGGAGTCTCTCCTCAGGGAGACTGTTCTGACTGAAAAGGCCTGTTCACCTCTGGTCTGCATCCTTGACTGTGGAATTGTGAGCAGGGCTGTTAAAAGATCTGAAAGGTACTTATGTGCAAGTCCAGAATGGGCCTTGAAAGTCAGTTATAAAATCTTAAAATCTTGAATTTAGAGGAATCCAAATAAGAGAAGAGAAAATTGGAGTAGTATTCTCTCTTTTAGCAGATTTGTTGAGAAGTCCGGCTGCCGCGGTTTGGACAAGCTTTAATTTCTGTCAACTCTTGGTCAAGGTGAGGAGGGAATTGCAATAATCCAAACGAGGGGTAATGAAGGCATGATAATGTATATGTGCATTTTGCAGTTTATTCTCAAACAATAACAGGGTGCACAATGATTGAAATAATTTAAACAGGAGAGTGGACAGGGATCTGACTCAACATTATAAGAAGGACATGGTTAGTTCTACATGTGCAGCCTTTTCTCCCGCTGCCCCTCTGACGTCTCCTGGGGCAGTAACAATGCAACAGTTATGAAATGTCTTCTTTTTTCTGAGTGGGGACATGAGTGAGTTGAGAAAGTCTGATCGGACTGTTGCTGCTGACTGCTGCACAGTGACCTGAGCCTCCATTTAACACCAGCATGACCATCTGTCTTCATGGCCTGAACATAGGACTCATTCATGCTTCTGCTCTGATGCATTCCACTCATAACATACAGATAAACCATGACCACATGTGAGTGCTGCATAAGTGCTTATGTAATATTAATGCATGAAATTGTGGCTTCCAGCGAGCAAAGAAAACCTGTGGAAAAGGGACTGAGCAGACAGAAAAATCTGACTTAGCAGAGATATCAAATTCAGGCAAAAGGCAAAAATAACACAGAGGATCGGAGGTCATACATGTTGGAACTATTACTTAACAAAGTTCTGGGAGGCTGAACTTAAAGTTGTCAAGACAAACTAACAAAGCTAAAGAGAAACTCAGAGTCGAAATACTAAAAGAGGAGGGGAGACATTGAGACACAGGTGTGACACATTAGAGCAGGAGTGGGTCACCAAGACAGAGGGAAACACAGGAGGATCTGGAAACAAGACAAGATGTGAGTATCAAAATAAAACCAGAAGCAAGGCAACATGCAGAATAAACAAGTAATTTGACTACAGCAGAAATGAGACAGAATCTGTAGGTGAGGGACAAGAATTCAGAGCTGG